ATTAATGAGATATTTAAATAAAATATTTAATTAAATATTTAATAAGTAATTTAATTAATTAATATTTAATTTAATTGTTTATTTAAATATTTAAGTAATTACTTTAATTGTTTGTGTATATTATTTGTTTAATATATAATTATTGATTTTATACTTTATTTGTTTATTTAAATATTTAAGTAATTACTTTAATTGTTTGTGTATATTATTTGTTTAATATATAATTATTGATTTTATACTTTATTTGTTTATTTAAATATTTAATAAATTATGTTAATTTTTATGTATATTGTTTATTTAAACAAATAATAAATAACTAATTGAAATAAATTCAATAAACAAGTAACTTAAATGTTAATTAAGCAATAAAAATAATTAATTAACATAAATAACAAATAAATATAAATAATAAAAAAATAGTGTAAATATGTAATTAAATATTAAATAAACAATTGAAGTTGGGGATTTTTATACTAGAGAGCATATTGAGATGTCATCACAAGAAGACGTCGATTGACCTTTTTCATTTGGAAATTGTTGATAACATTGACATATTCAACAACTATCTATGGGACAAAGCTGACAATTATCAACTCTCCTCAACGATCTTGGGGTACATATTATTTATTTGTGATTTAAGTTGTACGTCATTTCGAAATCTCAATACATGCGTGGTTATTAACTCGGTGAAATGTTAATATGTTAGCTTGAATTGTTCACTGAGCTGACACCGTTGATCAAAGAGGAGGGTTAGAGTCAGAGTCATAGTTGAGGAGATACGGTTTACAGGCGATAAGGGTCTCAGACAGTGACAGAGAATAGCGGAGATGGTGACAAGGTGGGTGGCGGTGGAGGGGTGGGGATGTACACAGATGTTTCATCAGAATCATTATGAATGTCAGTGGAGATGGAAGAGGTGCCGATGGTGGGGACGAAACAATTGCAAATATTTTTTTATTTATGAAATAATTGTATATATATTGTAAAATTTATTTAAATAAGGTAATGAAATATTAGATACATATTACACACAACCAATTAAGATAATTTATAAATGAAATATCTAAAAAAGAAATTAAATTAAATATTAATTTTTTTATTTAATTAAGTGATTAAATAAATAATTAAACAACGTAATTAACTATTAAATAAATAATATACATAACTATGTCGAAGAGGACCCCCAACTTGATAAATAACATCGCGAGTTTGAATTACACCCTGTACACATATTATTGACGTGCCAGAACAAATGGTTAGCAAGAGGACTAGATTGCTGTCACAATACATTGTTTCTCCGTACACGATCGAGGCAAAGAATAGAACATCTGTTGATAGTATGTTGCCCAACCTCTTCCGTGAAATCGACCCGGGTGATTGTGAAATCTTCGCATTGAAGTTAGGACTATAAATGGATCAGATATATGGATCGAATCTGCTCAAATTCGATTCGATCTGATCCGTTAATAATAATTATCCTATCCTATCCGATCCGATTCAATAATCCGACGAATATTTGAATGTTAAATCCATATCCGATTAACTATGTTATTGGATATCCGATTCAAAATTAAAAAAATTAGATAAATAAAGATTTTATTTATTTATCAAATTAGATGGACCTATATCCATATTTGATTTATTTAATTAACGGATTATCGGATTTGAATCTCGATAGGGTTATCGGATTGAGACCCTAAATCCATCTCCCATTAATTTCATCAGATTCAGATCAAAATCCAATCTATTGACAACCCTAATTGAAGTACATTGAATTTTAGTATCGAACGTAGCGTAGAGCTGATAAACTAAACACACATTAATATACATAACTATGCCGGAAATGACCCCCCAACTTGACAAATAATGTTGCAAGTTTAGATAATGTGATAATTATGTCGGAGAAGACGATGAAAGTGACATTATGTAAGAAATATGTTTATTGATGTGCCAAAGCAAATGGTTAGCAAGAGGACTAGATTGCTATCACAACATATTGTTTCTCCGTACACCATTGAGGCAAAGAAGAGAACATCAGTCGACGGTACGTTGCCCAACCTCTTCCATGAATTCGAACCAGGGCGATTGTGAAATCTTTGCATTGAAGTTAGGGTTATAAATGGATCGGATCTACTCAAATTCGATTCGATCTGTTAAGAATAATTATCCTATTTGATCCAATCCAATAATCCAACGGATATTTGAATGTTAAATTCATATCCAATTAACTATGTTATCAGAAATTAAATCCGAAATTTAAAAAATTAGAAAAATAAAGATTTTATTTATTTTTTCATTGAAAATTATAGCCCCAACAAGATTTTAACTAATTATTTATTTTAAAAAATATTTGAACTATCTTGATGAGCTCACTTATTATAATAGAAGGCCTAAAACATATATATATTTCATCCTTTTGGAATGTTTTAGTGATATCGGATTGGATCGATCTATATCCATATTTGATTTATTTAGTTAACGGATTATCGAATTTGAATCTCGATTGGGTTATCGGATCAAAACCCTAAATCCATCTCCCATTAATTTCGTCGGATTCGGACCAAATTGAAGTATATTGAATTTTAAGCATCAGACGTGACGTAGAGCTGATAAACCAAACACACATTAAAATGTAAGCTTTTTTTTTTATTTACATTGTGATCCATAGTTGTAATAATTTAAAACGTAAGCATTTTTTTAAAAACGTTAATAATACTTTAGTTTTTATGTAATTGTATAATAAATAACCAATTACTCTTAATTACATATATAACACACTATAAATAAAGAAAATTGAGGAAATCAGTGGCATATTATAAATAGAGAGTACATACAATTTAAGTAGATATTACATATTCGTCGGGTCAATTTTCACGTAATCAATAACATACTATAAATAGAGAAAATTGAGGAAACCAATAATATAATATAAATAGAGAGTACATACGATTTAAATAGATATTACACATCCGTTGGGTAGAGAGTAACATACTATAATCGAGAACTTCCCACTTGACTTCATTTAGTAGACGAAATATATTTTTGGCATTCTTGAATAATGTTTGATGTCTTGAAAATGTGATCGTGCCTAATATTAGACTTCCACATTTGTTAGATATTCTCATGCATCATGTGATTTATGTTCTAGTTAAATATTAAATAAATAATATATGTAACCAATTAAGATAATTAATTAATGAGATATTTAAAGAATAAATTAAATTTAGTGTTAATTTTGTATTCGAACAAGTGATTAAATAAATAATTAATTAAAGTAAAGAAATATTAAATAAACAATGTACATAACCAATTAAAATAATTAATTTATGAAATATTTAAAGAAGAAATTAAATTAAATATTAATTTTTATTTGAATAGGTTTTAAAATAAATAATTGAATAAAGTAATTAAATATACATAACCAATTAAGATAATTAATAAAGAAATATTTAAACGAGAAATCAAATTCAATATTGGATAATTCTACATATACTAATTATAAGAATGTCCATAATGTATTTGTGAAATTTTATAAGTAAATGATCGAAAAACTATTTTTCAACTTTCCAATAATATTATGGCACTTGTACATTATGGTATAATGTTTCTATTTAAACAAGCAATTAAAATAAAGTAATTAAATATTAATGACTAATAATATACATAAACAATTAAGATAATTAATTACTGAAATATTTAAATAATTAATTAATATTTAAAAATTAATTTTATATTCAAATAAGTGATTAAAATAATAATTAAATAAGGTAATGGAATATTAAATACATAATATACACAATTAATTAAGATAATTTATAAATGAAATATCTAAATAAGAAATTAAATTAAATATAATTCTTTTATTTAATTGAGCGATTAAATAAATAAATAAACAAAATAATTAAATATTAAATAAAGAATGTACATAATTAACTAAGATAATTAATTAATGAAATATTTAAATAAGAAATTAAAATAAATACTAATTCTTTTATTTAAATAAGTGATTAAATAAATAATTAAATAAAGTAATTAAATTTTAAATACATAAAACCAATTAAGATAATTAATTAATGAAATATCTAAATAAGAAATTAAATTATATATTAATTTTTTATTTAATTAAGTGATTAAGTAAATAATTAAACAAAGTAATTAAACAATAAATAAATAACATACATAACTAATTAAGACAATTAATTAAAGAAATATTTAAATAAGACATTAAAATAAATATTATTTTTTTATTTAAATAAGTGATCATTTGAATAAAGTAATTAAATATTAAATAAATAATATACACAGCCAATTAAGATAGTTAATATGGAAATATTTAAACGAGAAATCAAATTAAATATTAAATTTTTTATTTGAGTAGGTGTTTAAAATAAATAATTAAATAAGGGCCAATTAAGATAATTAATTAATGAAATATTTAAAAGAGAAACCAAAATTAAATATTAATTTTTTATTTAAGCAAGTGATTAAATAAATAATTAAATAAAGAAATTAAATATTAAATAAATAATATATATAACCGATTAAGATAATTAATTAATGAAATATTTAAAAGAGAAACCAAAATTAAATATTAATTTTTTATTTAAGCAAGTGATTAAATAAATAATTAAATAAAGAAATTAAATATTAAATAAATAATATATATAACCGATTAAGATAATTAATTAATGAAATATTTAAACAAGAAAGTATATTTAATATTAATTTTTTTAATTTGAGTAATTGTTTAAAATAAATAATTAAATGTAAAGTGAAAAGTGTTTGATTTTTTAATTTGTAACTTAAACGTATTTTTGTCTTTTGAAACAAAATTTTATCTTTATAATTGTATAAACTACTAAATGATATTTTTGTCTTTTACTCAATAAAATGCCATTTTGGTGATAGACAAAATTTTTTTATTAAAGTGAAAAAATACGTTTTTGACTTGGCCAAACTAAAAATTACCCACCTACAAACAGGGGCTTAATTACACCAACCGAGTAACTGCCGATTGCACATCCCCAATTCATTTACTGGCATTTTCAAGTCCGTGTCCACAACCCATCTAGATCTTCACATATTTTTTTATTTTAGAAAGCCAAATCGAAAACGCGAGCATCTCCGATCGCCGAAAGTTGTTGCTTTTTGTCGAATAATTCGATGAAAAATCAACAATAACATGGATGAACAAGCGGAAAAGAGTTCGCCTGAAAATGACGATTCGAAGTTGGAAAATGGTGAAAAGAAGAATGAGGACCTGACATTTGATCCAGAAATCTTCAGTTGTATGCTTCAGCCTTCGCCTGCAGATTCTGATTCTGACCCCAATTACATTGGAATCCGCCGACTCCTCCTCTATCGGAAAGCTCAGTCTGGTGTCTTACGCCGCAAGGTACTCCTCGAATTCGTCTATGAATATTCGTGTATGCATTTACGCGTCTATTATAAGTATTATTTATAATGTACGTATATTAGTTATATACTCTTGCATTGTGTAATTTGGACTCCTGATCGTTGATCTGTGTTAAGGGTTGTGAGTGTGAAAATGCACAAGTCATCATCATTCCATATTATTTGCTATATTTATATGCGTTTTAGTATCGGTGCATAACTAAGTGCCAACTATGAGCGTGATTATTGAGTACTCTGAAGATTGTAACGTGACTTAGCATTGTCTTCGTTCATCTTTGATTTAAATGATGATATGCATTTTCCTTATATCTACGTTAACCTAAACGTGCTCTCATAATTAGTGTTCTATAATTTAAATAATCTTCATCGGTGAATAGAACTTCAAGGCACTATGTTTAATTTCCCAAAATTAACATTTCTAGAAATTAGTAAGGGGAATAATTATTTTATTTATTGGAAGCAAATTTTCAATTCTTATAATTTTGTTAAATAAATTTAGTACATTTTATAAATCAACATAGTAAGGAGTTCATCATATGAAAATGTTGATTTGGTGTGGTTTCTTGTTGTAGGATTGGAGATGTAATGGAAAAGGTTATGTTGCCTTTCGTAATTACATTAATAGGCCGAGAAATTGGGATGGTTTACAAACACCGAGTTACCCGAGCACTCCAGGACAGAGGTTACTGAAATACTAATTTGATCACAGATGACAATGAATTATCGTTTGTTGTTATTTTGAATCCTTCATTTTCAAGTTTTTAAAATTTTGAAAGAAATTCATCTTAACAATATGAGTATTATTTAAATTTGTGTTCCATATGATTCTCACATCAGGGTAATTTACTGGTTGATGCATCAGTGAGCGATGGATACCATCTACAAGTCCAATCTCCCATTTGTTTGAGGTGGACAGCTGGGGTACAAGCAGGGTATGTGTCATTTCTCTATTACGTTTGTTGTTCTATCCAAGTTTCAGGCTTATAATGATCACAAGTAGGAAAAAGTAAAAGGTTGTCAGCAATTCACAAGGCACCATGCTCTTTACACCTGTGCCCCAAGCTTAGAATTGAGGCATGTGAAATAAGATAACTTGAGTTGCTTGACAATTGTCTTCATTAGAGTTAGTTAAGCAAATTGATAATTAGTACTTGAAAGATTTTTGAAAAAGGTTGGCTCTGTTGACCTGTAGGGAAGAAGGAAGCCTTTACTAACAGACCTATAGCCTATGATTCATTTAAGCTTCATGATCATTGGTGGGGACAAGTTATTTATGGTTTTTGGATAAGACTCTGCCGTATATGCTTATGATATTTTTAGTTTTCTTTTCTCTAATGTTCTCCATATGGCAAGTCGAAACCGTTGCATTTATGGTCCTGTGGCTATTAGGTTGACGTGCACGCAATACATGTGGTCTGCACGTATATACACATGCACGGACATTTTTTCCTTAAATCATTCAAACCAAGAACCTACCGGTTAAAACTAATCTGACTGTCACATTGAGTCTTGTAAGTTTTTGCAAATGTAGATATAGAGAGCAAATGCTTATTGGGATTAATTGATAAGCATTAACGAAATTGATATAGGATAAATTTCTAGAATTTCAAGTAAATTTTTACTATATGTTCCTACTATATTATCTTCTTCAAAATAACCACAAATATATGTATGTATGTGTGTATATATATATTCTTTTGATTTGTTGTGAATTATAGCCTCATATGTCATACTTAGAATAAGGATTGTTTAGGCATGTCATTTAATAAGTCTTATTCTTCCTTTGTTCCAGGATTTACAAAGTGGAAATCGACAATTCAGTTTCCACACAAGTGCCAGTTCAAATGCAAGTGATACTGAGCTCCCACATAGAAAGGGCGAACCTGCATATTCCTTTGTAGGAATGCACTGCATTTTTGACCAGTGCAAGGCCATGGGTATGTCTCTGAGAGAACAAGACCAGATTGTATTTTGTAGCTGCCTATTCTGGTGTTATTGGAATTTTTACATTCTGAAGTAACCAACAGTCATTATTTGTAGTTACGGTCATAAAGTTTGGGCACATGAGTTCTGATCTACTTGCTTATGGAGCATCAGATGGAAGCTTGACTGTATGCACTGTTTCTACGTCACCTGCAGTTCTCAAGCAGTTAACAGGACATACAAAAGATGTCACAGGTAGGATTAATTGATATTCTGTCTGTAGGAACTTTTTGCTAATCAACTATCAATATTCCACCCCTCTAGGAGACCTCTTGATGGCTCCATTCGTCTTGATGTAGAACATTTTTTGACTGAACTCATATTAAATTTTCAATCCTCCTCTGTCAATTGTAATCCTCCCTAGACCTCAGTCACACTTTAAATGTCCGCCTAAAATCTTCAGAGGGAAATATTGGACAACCTAGGGGATTGTGGTAGTTTATTTTGAGTATTTTAAAACATTCTCACACATGCACGGTTCATGATTTACACCGGTAAGTACTCTGTCTCCATTGAGTTCTAAAATTTCTCTCATCAGATTTTGACTTCTCAACTAACAATCAGTACATCACATCTTCCTCAATCGACAAAACTGTAAGAGTATGGGATATCTCGAAAGGCCTTTGTATGAGGGTGATTTATGGAGTTTCACCAGAACTTTGTATTCGTTTTCATCCGGTGAGTATGTGAAATTTCATGCTATTTTCGTCGTTTCTGCTCTGAAAGAGTATAGTTTATTATGTTTCAAGTTTGCAGGTCTATGTCATTTTTGCCTATTTTACTGGTGCAGGTGAACAATAATTTTCTTTCAGTTGGCAATGCAAACAAAGAGATAATGGTAAATCATGTGAAACTTACACTTACTGCTGGCAATTTCTAATTATTGAAACCACAACTATTCTGGGTGGGTGTTTCATCAAAACGTTGAATCCATTTATTTCCCTATGTCATTTTCTTCTTTTTTATTTTCTTTGGTTGAGGATGTCAGTATATGTGCTTGTTTGTGTGGTATCCCAGGCACTTTGGAGGACATACCCTTCGTGTGCCCAGATTGTAGTGCCTCCTTTACCTTTTCTTGGTGCTATCCAAAAAATTTATTATTTTGTCTTGCAATGGTTGCGTGTCTTTGATATCGTGCTGCATATTGGAGACTCTGCCATCCTACAGATAAATCAAATGCATTGTTTGATGCGTTACCTTATGTAAGACACTTAACATTCTCTCACTTTCACATGTTTATAACTGGCATTCTAGGTGTTCAATTTCAGCACTGGAAGAACAATCAGTAAAGCAACCTTTGACAGTGAGGTTACTGCTATGGACCAGGACCACACTGGTCAGCTTATTTTCTGTGGTGATGCTAAGGTGCGTTTGCTGCGCAAGGACTCCACCTCTGCTAACTGATAAACTCTAATTTTTGTATTTTTTCAAGAATTAGAAATTTTCTTTCCAAATGATTGCAGGGATATGTATACACAGTTAGTATGGACTCACGTACAGGTGCCTTATCTAGGTCTCATCGTAATAAAAGTAGCAGCAAGCAAAATTCTCCAGTAACTACTGTGCAGTACAGGACCTTTTCTTTGCTCGCCCGAGGTCCTGTGTTGCTAACTTTTTCTCGAGATGGAAGTTTGTCTTTCTTCAGGTTGTTCTGTAACATTTGTCTTTTTACTTTCAGATATAATTTCTGTTTTCTAATACGATAGGCGGTGTTTTGGTGTGGTGTAGCGTCTCTTTGGAGGTACAAGGTTATTTGACCGTTCGTTGTACACTTAAATTGGCTCCACGACTGCATAGCATTCGTGCCTCTTTCTGTCCTCTACTTTCCCTTGAGAAGGGAGAATTTATAGGTATGCATGCCAATTTATAAGATAATCCTTTCTCTATGTTCATACCAATTTAAAAGATAATGCTTTTGCAAATTTTATCTCAATGTCAGTAAAAGGCGTTCCTTTGATGTTCTTATGGCCACTGTTACTTTTTTAAGTAATTTTTTGTTTCAAAACGTCAGGATATATTATTTTTTTCTTACTTTCGAGTTAAAAATGTTACTCATTTTTCAAAAGTAGCTCTCACATCAAGTTAATTATTTATTGGCTTAGACAAACATGATATTTGTCATCTTGCCTGCCAAATCCTTTAGGCAAAAATTGCTTTCTTTCACAAGTTTATTCATAGCAACAAGAATCTCATTCTCATTGCTGACACTGCTATGTACGTCAATGAAGTTGCGGGGAGTGAAGATGCTAATGTCTATTTCTATGATTTAACTCGACCAAAACACACGTGTGTAAACAAACTACAGGTAAATATCAAATTTTCCTGAGACTTGTTCGACTGGCTTCATGTACTTCAGTGATTGTTTATTATTACTGCAGGGTCATGGCTACCCGGTTATAGGCATTGCTTGGAACCATGGAGAGAATTTGTTGGCTTCTTCAGATTTTGGTGGAACTGTCATTGTATGGAAAAGAGCAAAGACAAGTTGAACAATTCTATGAAGGACCGGATTTTCGACTCTGTAATTTGTTTTACCTTATACTGAACCCAGGGGTTTAGGAATAGAACACATTTGCGTAGGCCTCTGGCTCTGGTGGGTTCTTTGGAAAAAGGTGAATCCAAATGAGATAAATCCATTGTATAATTTTTGTACTGAATTTTGGTTGATTTCATGTGATGGACATTTAAATATCTTAAACCGATGAGAAGTATAAACAATCTATTGTAGTCTAGTTGGTCAGGATACCTGGCTCTCACCCGAAAGATCCGGGTTCAAGTCCCGGCAACGGAAATCGTTTTGGTTCTCTTGCGTGTTACAGATTTTAAAAGCTTTATTTTAGGAAAAATTATAATGGGGTCCTTAACCTTTGCAAGAAGTATGGATAGATCCCCAATCTTCCAACATTGGCAGCGCCATCACCAACCTTCCACTTTTGTACAAGCGTTGGTCCTCTTAATCTTCCAACATTTGCACTAAGAAATTTCTATACAATCTTTGAGTCGGTTTCCCAATACATACTTGTAGATATATTCTTGTATAGCTGCAGTCACTGCATTTCTTCAAGAACGAAATAGAAGAATTTTTTATTTTTTTTTATTTACACGTGAATTTTGCAGCAGAAATTTAGGTACTCAGTCTAATGCAAAACTAGGCTAAAATGATTTTCTAACAATCATTCATGAAATTGCATTCTCGCCATTGAAGCATCCAACGGCTACACTCACGAGTGGAATCCTGTTTACCGGAGCATGTAAGTTGACAACTGCAGGAGAGGAGGGAAATTTTTTTTTATTAAAGTTAACCCTCAAGAATTGTATCCATTGTCAACCATGGAGTCATTACAAAAGATCCTACTTTCGAATGAACAGGGCTACTTCAAAGGTTTAATCTTTAATAGCAAGATTTAAGAGACATCATGTGCATATTTAGTGCATAGTAGTTTCTACTGGAAAATACAATAACTAAAGATTTAGGGGATGTATTTAATTGAAACTTCTAATGAGTTTTTAGAATTTAAAAGGTTTAGGACTATTCAATGTAGACTTTTTGAGACTCTAAAAGTATTGGAGCATTCAATTGAGACTTTTATAGAATTATTATTAAAATATATTTTTTTCTATTAATTATATTAATTTCTATTTTTCTTTTTCTCTCTGTCATTGTTTATCTCTGTTTTCTATGACTTCCAATTGAATAAAAAAAAATCTATAAAAAAATCAACAGAAGTCATCACTTTAAAAAATAAATAAATAAATAAAAAAGTTCATCAGAATTTTCGAAAATCCCAATTGAATACATCCTTTTAGTTATTTTCCTTTACTTCATATTGTCTAGTACTATATAATCCATCTTAACAAATATGTGAATTAAGTCAAGTCGGAATACAGAACTTTCAATAACTCTTCCGAAATTTTTTCTTGAGGAAATTTCAGAATGGGTGCTGAATTTCCAAGAAAA